AAGTAGAATAACAACTAATAACTTAATATAAATAGTCATAATACTCAGGGTTAGTTGAGGTCAAGCTCTACTAATTTTAACCATTTTTCCCATTCAGAAGTAAATCTTCTAAGGCCTTGTTCCCCTTTACCACGAGCAATATATTTCTGAACCTTATAGTAATCTTTAATCGAATTGACTAAAGCCGTCACATTAAGTGACTTATGAAAACATCTGGTTTTGTATATATATTGTTTAATGAACAGAGTAATTTCATTAATTAAAAAAAAAAAAAGAAGTTTATTTTAACCAGCAACAACAGGGACAAGGACTCCAACAACAGCAGCAACACATTGAAGGACTCCAACAACAGGGACTACGGCAGTACAGTCAACAAGGACAACAACAGCAGCAACACATTGAGGAACTGCCAGCTTCACCTCAGGTAAATAGTCTACATGATATTCAATTTCTGTAAATAATTATAAATTAATAGAAAACAAAATATGATCAGAAATATATCAAAACAGTGATGCGTATAGGATTGATTTTTTATGCCCCGGCCATTTTTGTATCACCTTTTTCGAGGAGGTATTACTTTGTCTGCGTCATAGTCCGAACAAAGGTTTCCATGCGATAACTTAAGTTCCCTTGGGCCAATAAAACTCAAACTTCATACAGTGCTTCCTTACTAAAGGCACTTGTTTCAGATTGCTTTCAGGTCCAAAGGTCAAGGTCACCAGCGTTACTATAAATTTTAAAAAAAAAAACAGTTTCTGTGCGATATCTCAAGTTCCCTTTGGCCGATCACGCTTAAACTCCATACAGTGCTTTCTTGTCGGAAGTACTTGCTTGGGATTGCTTTCACATCCAAAGGTCAAGGTCACTGTTATTAGGCTGTACAGGCGACACATCCTCTCCTGTGGGGTTCTTGTTTAAGGGGCCATAATAATATAGTGTTACCCATGTCCTGCTTCAGTGTTGTAAAGTTATCTTGAGGTTTAAGCTATAAATACCCTTTGGACATTTTTTACGAGAAAAATCCAATCCATATCTTGCAGGATATCTCAGAATCACCCAGCAATGATGATCATGCAGAAGCCAGAGTTGTTGGAGGATTTACAATGGTAAGTATGAAATAAGTTCACCATTTTCCTTGCAGCAGTCAAATTTTGAAGTGTAATAAATATATATATATATATATATACCCAACTTAGCATGGCTAAATGTAGTTATTTATATCCAATGTAAGCAATTTTTTAAGTACCCCAATTATTTAAAATGATTGATAAAATCATGAATCCCCATACCAAAATAAGTTACAAATAGGTATAACTTTTTCGTACCTTTTCAGTAACTTTTTTGTACTCCTGATAAAAGGTACAAAAAAGTTATAACTTTTCGATACCTTAATTTAAACTTAAACTTTACTAGTGCACCTAATTATATTTATAATGAATTTACATTTTCATAGGACCAACTTGAATGTAAGGTGCAGCACCTTACGCACAGCTCTTCAAAGGTAGTGACCCTCCTCTTCCGACTGCTGTTTAAGGAGGAGGAGTTTGTCGGGAAAACCTTGACTGGGGCAAGAGGGACACAAGCAGTGGACCAGGACAAGTTGGCAGTGATATACAGTATGTATTAGTCACATCATTATGCCAAATAATTTTTATGCACAAAATGATGTCACACATATCCCAGAATGCAGTTTACCTTTAATACCCTATTTCCATTGGCTTATATTGTTACCGTACGGGAATTCCCTACCTGTAAAACAGAAACGTAAAAATGGCGGACGATGAAGAAATATTTGAGGACGCCGCAGAACAGGCCGTGTTTTTAGATGAATACTTCGGTGAAAGTGACTCTGATCAGGATGGTTTTGATGGGTTTGACATTGAGGACATTAACTTAAATGCTGAAGGGGCAATTGTAAGAGAAATCGCCATGGATCAGTCAACTCGTGACCGGGAATTTCCCGAAGATTTTGCTTGGAGTCGTGAGGATTCCCCACCTGTCTGTGCCCCATTTACCGGTAATCCCGGTATCAAATTTGATACGCAAGGTATGGAACCCATTGATTTTTTCCACAAGTTTATACCTAATGAATTCGTCGAACTTATGGTGACTCAAACGAACTTATATGCCCAAAGAAAGATAGAAGAAAATCAAGAGAATATGAAGCCCCATAGCCGCATTTCCAAATGGTATGACGTAACAGCACTGGAGTTGAAGGTATTTCTTGCACTATTTATCACCATGGGAATAGTGAAGAAGTCTCAATTAGATGAGTATTGGTCAACAAGTGAAATAGGAGAAACACCACTGTTTGGAAAACACATGTCAAAGGACAGATTTCATGCAATTCTCAGTAATTTACATATTGTAAACAACAAGGACGCCATCCCTGTTGGACAGGTAGGTCACGACCCTCTGTTCAAAGTTAGACCTCTTATTGATCTACTTGATACAAAATTTACAGAGATGTATAATGCTGATGAAAACTTGAGCTTTGATGAAGCCACATGTCCATTCAAAGGGAGAGTGAAGTTCAGGGTCTACAACCCTGCCAAACCTAATAAATTTGGCATAAAACTATATCAAGTTTGTGAAGCAGAATCGGGATACACTGTCAGGTTTGATGTGTACCATGGGGAAACAAACTGTATCATATATTGTGAGGAGTTGGACTTAGATCCAGATATTTCTACTAAAATTGTCATTGGTCTGCTTTGTAAATGTGGAGCCCTAGATAAAGGTCACAACATCTACCTGGACAATTACTACAATTCTCCAGAGCTAGCTGAGGACCTGAACCTGCTCAATACATACATGTGTGGAACATTGCGAAAGAACAGGAAGGGTGTTCCGAAGGCTATCCAGTCTGTGAAGCTGAAAGCTGGCGATACTATATATCGCAGGAAAGGGAACACGTTAGTGGTACAGTTCCCTGACAAGAGGGATGTCCATATGATATCAACAATCCATGCAGCCACCGACACTGTACTGAACAAAACAGACAAACATGGCATACCCATCATCAAACCTACCTGTGTAGTGGACTACTGTGCTAAAATGGGAGGAGTAGATCTATCAGATCAAGTAATTCAATATTACGACATTCTAAGGAAGACAGTCAAGTGGTGGAGGAAACTATTTTTCCATTTGGTCAATGTTGCGATCACTAACGCGTTCATCTGGTACAAGAAGGACCAGAATGGTACCGACCGCAATGTGCATGTGAAATTCAGGAAAAGTATTGTTTCTGCACTGTTGGAAGAAGGGGCAGATGCCCCCAAGCCTAAAAGTAGGGGAGGAAAAACTTGTACCACAGCGACTGACAGGACGCCACTTTTCATCATACAACGTCGCGAAAGAGGGAGCAAAGCGTAAACATCCGCAGAGGGATTGTGTTCCTGCAACCCAAAAGTGAAGTTCAGGGATGGACACAAGAGACACCTGACAGTATTCAGATGTGACAAGTGTGATGTGGCCTTGTGTGTCCCGGACTGTTTCCAGGTATACCATACCTACAAAAATTACCGCACAATTCTGATGGGGGAAAACGATGCCAATGCTCGTGACACAGACAGTTCCGAGGAGGATTGAGTAAGGATTTCATATAAGGAGTAATTATGTGATGATACTTCTTGATTATCCATGTGACATTAGTATAATTACTCAAAAAGGAGCATGAAAAGTGGTCATATAATTATAGGCTTTGGAAACATTACATGTTGAAACAGTTCTACGAAATTGCTAATTTGTAGCAAGAAATATTAAAATACTTGATCCTTACCTGTATTTTTACCTTTATTTACCTGTATCTTAACGAGACTATCACTTACAGAAGAAAAAATTGCCTTGTCATGTACCTGTTGATATTTAGATGCATACACATATAACTTTTATCATGATATCTTCAAAAACAAGCACACCACAACAGTTTGAAGTCAAGCCACAATTTTAATAAATTTTTAATTATTTTAATTAGCAGTGGCAATAAAAGAACCATAACTCCGTACAGCATGATAAGGGTTAATAGACTTTATGTGATTAAACAATCACAATATATTTCATCGCAATTTTTTTATTTTTTTAAGTACATTGTGTAGTGTTTCTGTACATTGTATGTACAAGTGGTTGTAAACGCTCCGTAGTGGATCGGTTACGGATGCTGACGGATGCTATGTCGGTAATTTGTATTACGTAATGTATTGCATGATGGGTAATAAAAGCACATGTTTTGAGAAGACAAAACTTGACTTAGTTCGTCCTGAAGTTTGTGAGCGTATACAGCAACAACAGCTGTTGCAGAAGAAACAACATGATCAGCACACGAAGGAACGTCATTTTGCTGAGGGAGATTCCATATTCGCGAAGAACTTCTATGCTTGACCTAAGTGGAAATCGGGTGAAATCGTGTCGCGAAATGGACCCGTGTCCTATACCATGAAGGGGGAAAATGGAACAGTGGCTAGACGCCATGTAGACCACTTAAGGGAAAGACATTGTCTCCCTGTGAAAGAAGTCGAACCCAATAAAGACTTTTATGACACCATACCTACAACTCAGTTGGTAAACCAAAGCCTGCAGATAAAACATCGACACCTGTACCATCAACAAAATCGTCGATTAGTCCAGGAGAACCTTCAAGGAGACCCCAAAGATCGCGTAAACCACCATCGTACTTGAAGGAGTATGTTCGTGATTAGCTAGCATTGAACACATTATTTTGAGTTTCTGTTAAGCTTTAAGTAAGGATGAACTGTGTTCTATGAACTTGGTAAACTTAAGTGTTCAGCGTTGGTATCGCGCATTATTGACTGTGTTTATTGATGCACTCTATCTGTGCAAGAGTTTTTGGTTCAAGAGTTAATAGTTCATTTCATTTCTAGTTATATGGGAAACTTTAATTTCAAGAGAACAGCATCTCACAATCGGTGAATGTCTTCACTGTGGGTGGAGGGATGTAGTGTTTCTGTACATTGTATGTACAAGTGGTTGTAAACGCTCCGTAGCGGATCGGTTACGGATGCTGACGGATGCTATGTCGGTAATTTGTATTACGTAATGTATTGCATGATGAGTAATAAAAGCACATGTTTTGAGAAGCCATCTTGACCTGATGTTTGGTTAGTTGTGTCTAGGTAAAGAACATAACACATTGTATTTGGTGATTTCTATTGCATGCATAATAGTATTAGAATGTTATTATAGCCATTCATGGATATTACCTCTCATGGTATACCCAAGATACTGAAAGCAGAGTAGAATTATAGTATTCAGATTCCTCACCTAAAAAGAAGCTGAAGGACATTTTTCAGCAATTTGTGAGTGTGGCATGCTTTCTCTGAATTTTCAGCAGCGTTTTTCTGAAGTGTGCAGTAAATTGTGGTATTCAGATTCCTCACCTAGAAAGAAGCTGGAGAACATATTTTGGCACCCTGTGACATTGATTCTTCCTCGGAGCTTCCTTTTCAGCAGCGTTTTTCAAATGGCTAGACACGCGGAAAATTTCCGCGGAATCTGCAGAAAATTTCCGCGGAAACTGCAGAAATGTTCCGCGGAAATGTGAGACCAGCTGTTTGCAGAGATATTCCACAGAAACGATTCTGCGGAATTTTGCGGAAAAATTATGTGGAAAAATTCTGTGTGACAAAAATCTGTGGAAATAATCCGCAGAATCTGCGGAATATTTCCGCAAGTACAGAAAGTTTCCGCGGATATTTTCCACAAACAAAACACCATTCTCTGGGTTTTTTACCACAAAATTCCACAGAATACCGCGGAAATAGTTGTGCCAATACTCCGCGGAAATATTCTGCGGAATTCTTTGGAAAAAATCCACAGAAATCCGTGGAAATCCGCGGATTCTGTGGAAAATCTACAGCCGGGCAGTTCAGGTGCCTCCCTAACGGACTCGCCTCAGTGCCTAGAATTTTTACTAAATTGATGATGAAACCAGTGCATTCCACTCTACGGAAAATGGGGCATGCTAATGTCGCATATATTGATGACAGTTTGTTACAATCTAACTCGTATTTCGAATGTGAAACAAACATCGTAGACACAGTCAATATGTTTGATAGACTTGGATTCACAATACATCCTAAACAAGAGGCCCATGGGCCTTAACGGTCACCTGAGTCCTACAGTATTTATTTTTGTTGTTGAAATATGTGCCAATTTGAGTAAAAAATAGTTAAGTATAATGTTAACTTAACTTTGTCAGGACCATGAGCTGATCATTCCTAGACCGATTTTAAATAAGATCGGCCTATTAGAAATTGTTTTTAAGTTTAGAATAGGTATTTACAAAATAGCGGCTGTGGTGGCCATATTGGATTTCTGATCGACCTGAAAAATAACAACACTTTGTCAGGACCATGAGTCGATCATTCCTACCAACT